AATTGGCGCGCGCCACTGCACCGTTTTCTCACCGTTTGCGGGGGTATTTTGGTGAGATTTTTGCCTCTCGCGCAGCTGAGCAACATGCTTCTTATGTGGACTCGCTGTATCAATACAATGTATCTTTCGAAGAAATAACTGTATCACTACCTCTTGTCCGTGGTTAGTATTACTTTGGTGTGCATCTATGACATAAAATTTTAATAACCACCCCTTGTCAACAAGAAAATGTAAAGTTGTAGTTATTAAATTTGCGTATTGTGTAGGCCTATTAATTGTATTTTTAAATGATTAAAATTATTTCGTCGACTCGATTTGGTTGTACATGTATCTCACACGTGAACATTTTTTGTCGATAAAATCCATTCATATAAAATAGCGGCTTTTAGGACAGCGTTTATTGTAGAATCTCACATTTCTCCTAAGACAAAGACGATAATCTATAACTTAAACACTGCTTTATTTCTCAATAATTCAACGAATTGAGCAGCTAGTGGCAGAAGAAAAGACTATGATGTGTTATTTATTTTGGGATAAAACAAATTTTGAGTAAAATAGATAAATAAATAAATAAAAAGGGTGTGTAATCTTTATACCGTAATTAATGTTGAAGAACGAAGTGAAGCATAAAGACATTTTTCAAAAATCACAAAACCCGACTTGCAAACAGTCTGAAGTGAAAGTTTTAATGTGATAGGAAGATGTGGCGGCCTCAATGACACAGCACCAGTACATGCGCAGAGAATGAATTGTGTATTTAAAACCCGGGAAAATTATATTTTTGGCGCGAAAAATTTAAACATCATCTGATGATAGATGTTTAATAAGACATAGGGCCTACCATTTCTGACGCCATCCTATTCACATCTTATCCCACCAACAGTTTGATACTTTCCCGTAGTTCATATAAAATCAACAATCGCAGAAGAAGACCTGATAAAAATATATATTAATGATATTGTTTCTCCATTTTCCAAGAAAGAGGATCGATATCATTTTCAGATTTTGTTCATGACAATCTGTTTTAGTTCCAAGAATTAAATACTTTTACTATTACTAAATAATATAATTTATATATTTTTTCTTTGAATAACAAGTTCCAAGAATTAAATGCTTTTACTATTACTTAATAATATAATATATTTTTTTCTTTGAATTACAAGTTCCTAATCATGGTGTGAAGATAAAAACAACTAACTCATGCACCTGCAAAATCATTGGCAGATGGCAGATTATTCACATTAAAGGGATAATAACTCTTTGTATGAGATATATATTTCACAATAAAAACATTGTGAGCAACTCACAGAAATATAATATACTCTGTTTTACCACTAAAAAGGCATTTACAGCCATTATTCTGATATCTGAGCTTGTCTTTAGACCACATGACCTCCATATATGGCTATACTCTGTTATAATCTCTTAAGAGATTATAACAAAAAAAAAACTTTTTAGAAAAAAAAACAGGGACTAACTTTGAATGTAAAAATGGATTTATTAACCATTGGTAAGTATGGGAAAATTATTGTTTACTCCAGGAAAATTCATTTTTTGGCCAAAACAAAGAGTTATTATCCCTTTAACAGATACACAAATCGCTCACTCTGGGTTTAATAAAACCATTGATTCCGACTTCATCCTGATTATGTGTATTTTATTCTGATTTAACTGTGCCTAAATAGATACATGTAATGCTGATTTCATGCAAAAAAAAAAACAACAGGAATCTCCACAACATACAGCTTTTCTTAGAATTTTATACTATAGTTCAATCACAGACGATTAGCATACGTCAACACAAGTCATATAAGTCGTCAAAAACAAGACGCTAATCTTCTCAAATATCTTATTCTGCAAATCTTACTTAACAGCACAATCACTGATGCCTAGCAGGGTTTAAGTCAATTCACAATCGTCACAAAACAAAAACACATCATCTTGTGTGTTATTTTTACATCCAGACTGAAGAATACCTATCTCGAGCTTGGGTATCTAGTTTTTTGCAGGCTTCACAATTCGGCCCGTTAGTGGGTCCACAGTAACCATCACACCCTCGCACCCCTACCAGCACTCTTCGGCCACAATAAAAGTGTCCCGTCTCTGGGCCGACCCTAGCTGCTGCACCATCAGAGTTCACGAGCCATCCACGGGGAAGACAACGCCCCTCCACATCCAATTTCATACAGGCTTCACAGTTACACCCATTGGTCGGACCACAGTGACCATTACAACACCGACAATAACCATTCAGCAGTTGGCTGCAGTAGTATTTACCAGTAGACCCAAGACGCGCCTCGTGATTTCTGCGATTTCTTGTTCTTTCCACCCGACAAACTTGGCCCTGCTGAATGTTAGTTGCTCCTTTTGGTTCCGGTTCAAACAAACGCTCTGCTTTGGCCAGTAATATATCTCGATGAACGTCACCAATGTGGTGAATAAAGGCGTCTCTCGGGCCGCTGAACTTACATGATGTACTGGGACATTCCAGCATTCTTCTCGGACAGCGGGCAATGTGTTCATTCATTTCAGATCGGGACACCGTGAGCCCGCATCCCAATGGGCATTGTGACTGCATGTTTCCTATGACTCGCCGTGCAAAATGGGCTACTACGGACTGAAAATGTTTCCTACAATTTGGACAGTTATTACTACCAACTGAAGACAAACAATTTTCACAAAAAATATGGTGACAGCAGCTAGTTTCCACTGCATTGTCGGCTATCTCATAGCAGATTAAGCAAGTGAGTTGTTCCTCCATCACATCTGAGGGAAAATTCTGCAAGACAACGAAGAGAAAATCAAATGATAATTTTTACGTGTAGATACCTGAATATTATTATATGATTATCATTTAGATTAAACATAAGTGTTTATTTATAACTGTGTATGCACAAATTCATAGTTGCAGTCTACTGATATATTATACACGGTAGAGGCCTATACATGTAACTGATGTAAGTACATGTAATTCTAATTCCTGGGGTAATCAAAGAGAGGGTGAGAACCTGCCATTGTCTCGTCAAAAGGCCTAACCATTATCAGGGTATAGTCACACAGACAGAAAAACGTGAATTATCGGAACGTTACTAATGAAGTCACAGGAGCAGATGTCGGTCCGTATAAATCAAACTTTGACCAAGAACCCTGATGACGAGTGAACGGTAGTTAAATTCAATACCTGGTGGATCGACTACTGTTCATGCGTGACAAGCCCTAATTGCACAGAAAGGTAACAAATCGATATCCGGTGGGCGCTACTGACAGTCCGGTGACGGCCAGCTACTATCAATAACCATGTCACTGGCGCGTTTCCACCGGGTCAGAATAAAACGCGCAATACAGCGCAATATACTAGAAAAAAAAAAAAAAACAATCCGGTCGCAAGTTAACACAGGAAACGGTCATTTCCAACAAAATAGGGTGATATAAAAGCAATATGATACGGTCAAGAAGAGTCCCGGCGATAAACAAGCCGTTCGTTAAGTTGTTTCAACATCGTATTCTGTTGGGATTGTCCGTTTCCTGTGTTTTTTTTGTTTTTGTTTTTTTTTTTTTTTTTGTGTGTGTGTGTGTGTGTGTGTGTCACGCTCGGCTGTCACCTTGATTGGATAGTAAACGGTTGTCGTAAAATCGCTAAAAGATATTAAAACCCGGTGCATAAACTTGAAAACCACCTACAACAACCTTGGACTGCCACATTAATCCAATACAATGCAAAAATAAACTATAACAAGTGGTTAAAGCCTTCAAACCGAATGTCGTAAAGTCCCCATATACCTCCATAAAGACAATAAAATAGAATAAGCTTATTCTATTTTATTGTCTTTATGGAGGTATATGGGGACTTTACGACATTCGGTTTGAATAAGCTTATTCTATTTTATTGTCTTTATGGAGGTATATGGGGACTTTACGACATTCGGTTTGAAGGCTTTAACCACTTGTTATAGTTTATTTTTGCATTGTATTGGATTAATGTGGCAGTCCAAGGTTGTTGTAGGTGGTTTTCAAGTTTATGCACCGGGTTTTAATATCTTTTAGCGATTTTACGACAACCGTTTACTATCCAATCAAGGTGACAGCCGAGCGTGGTGTGTGTGTGTGTTGCGCTGTATTGCGGCTTACATGTATTGCCCGCATATGCCCCCCCAATACAATGTACCGGTACATGTAATCATGTAATACCGCACTAGTATTTTACCAGTGCTTGTATGGGGAAATTACTTTTCTGTGTCTAGAACAGTGCGGTATTCTTGAGTCGTATTACGTACGTGGTTGATTAGCTTCACTTATCATGACCTATCGCTCGAAGTGACAGCCGAACGCACGTAGGCCTACAGGCTGCGTAGACAAAATGATCAGGGATCCTAGAGAAAGGTGAGAAACGGCCATTGTTCTCGTCAGATAGGTTAACTATTTTAGGGTATGTACGCACTGGCAGAAAATTACGAATTGTGGGAACGTTACTAATGAAGCCACTGGAGTAGGCCTACTACTAGTACTAGTAGACGTCAGTACGTAGCCTACATGATCTAGTCTTGAACAAGATCTTCGATGATGACTGAACACTTGTCAAAAACATAAGACCCAGGTATGGTAGATCGACCACTGTTCATGCGTGCCGCAAAGGCCAAGCCCTATGACTGCCCCTAAAGGTTACAAATCAATATCCGGTTCTGACGGTTAGGCAAGCCTAATCATAAGTAACGCGTTTCCACCCCTGATCACGGAAGCAGCAAATCGTCACATAACAACATCGTATTCAAAATATCCAAACAGATTCTGCCTTTCCGCCCACCGATTTAATTAAATGAAAGGAGACCACTACATGAACTTACTGTCACGGTTTCCTTAATAACACTGCTGTTTAACCGCCATAGGGATAGGATTTTTGTGATCGCCCAACCTAGCTTCTGTCACCGATCAATGCAAAAATGCCTGTGCCTCGTTACAGAACTAGGTCACACAAGTGCTTTGTGTGACCTAATTACGTGTAGTGTTCAGACTGCCTATATACGTCTGATTCACGGTTTTAAAGCAAATGAATAGTTGATACTGTGCGCATGTGGTGCTGGATAAATTGAATTTTGTGATCTGCTAGAATAACGTTGATTTTAATTATTTGAGATGACTATGGTTAAAATGCCGGATGCCAATGGTCATACTATAACCATGGTTAAATGGCAGGGAGAATATTTCCCACCCTTTCCAGGTACTGGGTCTCGAATGGACAAGATGAAAGATTTGCCAATGAGAGATAACGACGTCTTGATTTGTTCATACCCCAAGTCAGGTAAATTACACATATCTGTAAACTCTCGTTGCTTCAGTTTTCGGTCTTACAAGTTACATAACAATGCATTGGATACGAGTACACATGTACCCCCCACATGTACATGTACCCTGTACATGTGCCAGTACATTGTACATGTTATCGGGATGCCATCTAAGTACATGTACGTACCCAGAAGTGTTTAAGGCCGAAAACTGAATTAAGGGGAGGGGGTACAGGCCCGTATAGCCAGGGGGGGTTCGGGGGGTTCGAAAGAACCGCCCCTTTTCCTGGGAAAAGGTACACTCTGGGTAAAATTTGATCTAGGTACGTGATGTTTTTATGGAAAAAGGTCCACTTTTTCAAAAAACGAACCCCCCTTTTGAAATTGCTGGCTACGGGCCTGGGGTACATGAGCCCTCATAATTACATTTACAGGTAGGGTCCACCAAGTTTATACATGTACAGGTATATATAATATAAATAATGCCAGATACTTCATTGATGAAAATATTCATACAGTTGTATTTAATAACAACATGTTAACCATTTTAACTTAGATGTCAAATTGTACAAAAGCCACTTAATTAAGCCTTTCACCATGCATTTTTCCATGCATATATCAGTAGAATGTGTAATGCTTCTACAGATAAATCTGTTCAATAATTATTGCTTTTTATGTTTCAGGAACACACTGGGCATGTGAAATTGCAAGGATGCTTGTCAGCAACAAGGCAGAGAACCACCATATAGAAGGTTTGGGAAAAGCCCCTGAATACATTGATATGTCAGATCAAGAATTGGTGAACAGCATGAAATCTCCCAGAGTCCTGTTTACACATCTTCCAACAAAACACCTACCAAAGGGTGTGTGGGAAAAGAAAATTAAGATCATCCATTTGATCAGAAACCCAAAAGATGTTGCAGTTTCCTTCTCTAACTTTGCCCAGGCATTCTCAGTGTTTGAATATAAGGGTAACTGGGATGGCTTTCTGACACTGCAGAATAGTGGACATGGTAATTTATAAAGTTCTATACTTAGGTTGGTTGTAATATGTATATTTTGTTATGGTTTTTTGGATGGTTATTTCTATCAAAAGAGAAGTGTTAATTAATAAGTTTTTTGTTTCAAATAATGAGGAAAAATGTGTAAATTGTTCGTTGTTTTTTGTTGTAATTGTTTTTTTTTTTTTTTTGTCTTTGAGATGCGCATTTTCAAGTTTGATTTTTTCTTGAATTCATTTTTGATTGAACAAATCTGAAGGGAAGCAGATAAAACTTTTAAGTCTATCTTTTCAAATTTAAAAAGCATATTACATAACAAGCTACATGTAGGGATGTGTGCATAAAATGTCATTTTTACTGTAAACTAATGAAAACTAGAAAAAGTGGCACTTGTTTATGAATTTCGTTCGGAAATCTGATGATCTTTCACCTTTCACACTCACACATGTATAAATGATTATGTAAAAAAAAATAAATAATGATCGTCTTTAATTTCAGTCCCATCGGGATCTTGGTTCAGATACATGTTGGACTGGTGGAACAGCCAGAAAGGAAACCCAAATGTTTTATTCATAACATATGAAGAACTCAGTGCAGTAGGTTCCACATAGCAAAACTTCTTACTTCATCATTTTAGTCTTACAAAATATAAATATGACTTAGACTGGGTTCCCATGCCTAGATCAATCCATCTGGATTGGTCTAACTCCCTGGGGAGTCTCACTAAATTGCTGTTAACTAGCCTGCTTAAGTGTCTGTCATGCCTATCGAATCAGCTAGGGGGTAAAGATAATCACCCCCTAACACAGCTTTACTAGGTGTGACAGACATTTAAGCTGGTTGAGTTGAATGGCAATTTGGTGAGACTCCCCAGGGAGATAGATCGATCCAAATATCTGTGGGAATGGTCCCTTAACCTACATATACAGCATCAATCCTGTTCGTTTGTCTGTTTTGTGCGTAGTGACCTGTCCCAAAGACAGGTTGCTACCAGTAGAATCGCTGCCATCATCTTTATTTACAAATAAATGCAGCAATTATTAATATTATTCAGTGTTAGTTGTTATAGTAACCAAGTTGTTCAGTTTTTCCTATCAATCACGCTACTTTTATCTTTTATGCCCAGTTGGACCATTTTATTGGTTGAATATGTACATGGCCCAAATGTATTATTAACATGTATAATTTTAATAGACAACCTTTATGCCAAGCTTTGTTCACATCTTTACTGCAGAATGACCAAAAGGTTGTGAAGAAAATGGCAGAGTTCTTGAACTGCACCAACACTGATGAATTTTATGAGGAGGTGGCAAGAAAATGCAGTTTCCACTCGATGAAAAAGTCAAGAGAGGATGCCATGAAAATCTTTTTTAGAAAAGGTACTTATTTGATAAAGAATGTCATTCTTTTCCCTATGTCAACAGTTATAGCCCCTTCAATTTTAACTTGCAAAACACTATAATTTCAAAATAAGCTTTACCTCTTTTTATGACACAGTTGATATATTTGCAAAGTTTATATTGATTAACATGTTTGTGGGGACATGTCTCAATCTTAGGTTAGGTTAAGTTTCTTTACTGAGTTTATTGAAAACTGACTGAAACATGAATATCATTCCACATTAATCTTACCATAATTTATTTAAAAATGGAAACTAATGAGGAATATTATTAAGTGGACTTAATTTGAATTAAGCAGTCAGTAAACTACTGAATAGTAATGCAGCAGTAGCCTATGTGGTATAAAATGAATTGTTTGGAACCACAGAAGTACCTCTGTATATGCAGTAGACTTCATGACTCGGATATTTTGGGACTGGAAAATTGTTTCTCAAAGACTTTAGGTAATGTTATCAGTTCTAGCTTATGGGAAAAATTAAATGTAAAAGATTTGATTAAGGTAAATGGTAATTCAAGTTAGGTGAAGAGATATGCAGACTCTGCTGTATTAATTTCATATACTTGTTTTTTATTTATTATTATTATTTTTTTATGGTAGGTCAAGTGGGTGACTGGAAAAACTGGTTTACTGTGGCGCAAAATGAAGAGTTTGATAAGCTATTTCAGGAACAAATGAAAGAAGCACCAGACTTAATACCAAGGATAATTTTTGATCATCAACCACAGGCCCATTGACCTTGTTCCACCATAGAACCAAGTTTTAAAGACCTAACCAAGGGGTAGGTTGCAGAAAAGTAAAGTCCAATAAAGTGACGTTTTGGGATTGTTATGTTATTTTCACAGCAAACTGAGCAGACAACTTGTTTTTCTATATGAGATTTCCCTGCCAAGATGTATTGTTGCAGGTTCTCTCCCGTCGTTTGAAAATCACTGTAGCTAAAGAGTTTCCTGCCCACATCAGCTAGCCACTGGGGTGACTGGTCTGCCGTCTGTGACAGCGACCTCCCGCCCTCATCGGAGTGCCTTTTGTGACCCACCCTTGGTGCCGGCTGTCTCCAGCAAGTATACTGCATCAAACTATGAATGAGGCAGCTCTAATATCCTCAAGTCGTAGTCTCTCACTTCTGCTTGGCGGCCCCTTGAAGCTTATTTCTACGAGTAGTCTCGTCCCCTTCGTTCAGGTCAGCTGACAGCTGTCTTGGTCTTCAAAGCTGACATTCCTCCGTGGGAATTAACATCAAATTTGCAGGTTTATTGAACATTAACTAATTGTGAGTGTATCCAGTGATCCTATTGACTGACCCTCTCAGGTCCCCGGTGGTTTGCTGGAGACGCAAATCCCATCTATTGTGGGCTTTTTGTGTAAAACAGCGCACTGCATCCATCAGAGTATGGTTATAATGCTCTACTTGTCCATGTGTTCAGAATACATAATCTCTGAGTGGTAGAATATTGCTTTTTAACACAGGAACATTCATATTGGCGGGAATATGGCATGGAGTGCCCCTTTAAACTATAAAATGGGTGCATATTGCATTACAAGTAAAACGTCTGGTAGTATAATTCAAAGAAATGTTTGCAACAAAATTTGTATCATCGATAGACGAATTATTTCATTATTTATTTTAAAAATTGTATTAAAAGTCCCACTGAGGACGGGTGATAGACTTACACATTATTGTAAAATAAAATTCTATTCTTTTACATAAAGTGTGCGTCGTGTTAGACTATGTGTTTTCACTGCCATGCGGTGTATTCATGGGGAACTGAGACACACTGGACAATTCTAATGCTTGGGAAATATTTTTTTTAATGCAGGCAAACTGAAAAAAAAGCGAGGTGGATTTTTTTTCTTTAACAGGTTACCCGCTGTGCGGCTAATGAATGGCTTCAGTGGGCCTACAGCCAAGTAGAGAGCTTATCTCTTTAACTATCAGTAGCCGTGATTACATTGAATGGGGTGATCGATAACTACTAGTACTATCCTATCAAACAATATCATTTTGAAGTTTGACTTGAATGAAGGAAACGAAATTACCTTTTGGAATGACAGGATTATTTTTTAGAAACTTTCAAACTGTTTTTTTTAATGGTGTGTTACGTATTAGTCCCCATAATGTGTGTATTCCTAATAACTCATCATTAAATTTTAATTTAAAAATTCTCTTCCTCAGTGTGCATAAGGGCCTAATTAAAACCAACCAATTTACAAAGGGGACCTCTTACAAAGATGGACTATTTATACTTCTGGTCTCCTTGTCAACTGACGTGCCCCCCCCCCCTCCCTTGACCAACTGTACATGTACGTGAGTTATGAAATGAGTTCCATGATTCAGCAAAAACAATCAGAAGATATATCAGTTTTCACTATGACAGCCGTTATATCAGGTTTACGTGCAGTTCGACTTCAATCTATAATTTGCACAGCAACGATGAGATTGCTATGTTTGGCATTTCATTAAATACACAAACTGTGCAGGGTAAGTACGGAATATGGATGCTGCTGATTTAAATGGATAGTGCTGTACTAGTGGTTTGCCTACCAGTTTGGGATTCACCTGACACTAATTTCTGTCTACAAAAACAGTATCCGTCATCATTTTGCACGTAGAACAAGTAATTTCAGTTATTTCATTTGGGTTATTGAAGTTTGAGTTTGGCACTGAAAACATACAAGTTTTGTTAATATCCTGAAGTTGTAAAATTCGTGTCGAAGTTTGACAACGACAATAATGTGGTCAATAGTGAGGTTTCCATATTATAACTTCTAGCGAGTTTAGCTCACCACGAAATATTGTTCCACATTTTGGAACAGAAACCAAATTTATTGATGAACCAACAGTAAATTTTCAGAATATTAAACTATTGTAAAGGCTGACATTTATACATACTATTACATTTACATGCCCCAGTCTTAGCGCCATGGCCCGCAGAAGAATTGCAATTATTGGAGCCGGTGCCAGCGGTTTGGTTTCAATCAAAACCTGCCTGGACGAGGGTCTGGATCCCGTCTGCCTGGAGAGGACTGACGACATTGGCGGGCTATGGCGGTACACGGACAACGCCGTAGATGGCCAAGGCTGCGTCATGAAGTCGACCATCGTGAATACCAGCAAGGAAATGATGTGCTTCAGCGATTTCCCTGTGCCGAAGGAATTTCCAAACTTCATGCACAACACGCTGGTTCAAAAATACTTCGACATGTACTGTGACCATTTTGATCTCAGAAAACATATCCGTTTTAGGAAGGCAATCCTTAACATCAAACCCGCTAGCGATTTCGTCTCGACCGGACAGTGGGACATTGAAATTAAAGACCTTCCATCTGGAACCGTTAGTACCGAAACTTATGACGGCGTATTGATTTGTACAGGTCATCATGCTTTCAAGAATTCCCCGTCGTTCCCGGGACAGGAGGAGTTCCGAGGTCAGGTGATGCACGCGCACGATTACCGGACTCCAGCTGGATTTGAGGGAAAGAAAGTCGTGGTCATAGGAGCGGGCAATTCTGGAGGAGACATTGCTGTTGAACTAAGCAGGGTTAGGTCACAGGTAAGACTACGCTTTTTCTCGTTTCGTTATGGAGGAAAAACGAGGGCATTCCCGATTCCACGCAGTGCGTGTCTTGTGAAATGTCAGTAAGACGAATAGCGTTTCAAAGGTTACTGTTAGTATTCAGAACTATGTTATCTTATTAAAATGATTAAAAAAACAAAATCCTAGTGCAGGGTGGAGCAATGAATAATGAGTACCAGTAGATAAAATTGTTCCCTTTTTTCCCCGATTTGGCTTGAAAATTCAGATAAGGATACCTTCAAGAAATGGGAGATAGAGACGAATTGTAAATGAAATTAGAGAAGGATAATTAAACCAAAATTGACTCTCAATGATTGATTTTGAATTTAGGTCTTCCTTTCTACCCGAAGCGGAGCCTGGGTATTTAACCGTCTATCGTATGAAGGTGTGCCTTACGACCTCTTAGACTATCGCCGGATCGTCTGGAAAATCGTCGATTGGATGCCCGAATCACTGATCAACGCCTTGATGGAAAGACGTCTAAACAACCGCTTTGACCATGTGACATACGGCATCCAATGCAAGCACCGTTTTCGTAGCGTCCATCCAATGACCAACGACGAGCTTCCAGGATGTATTGCGAGTGGGGGCGTGGTAGTCAAACCCAATGTTAGCCGAATACTAAAAACAGGCGTTGAATTTGATGACGGCACTGTGGAGGAGAACGTCGATGTGGTAGTCATAGCAACTGGGTATACTATAGGGTTTCCTTTCATAGACCAAAGTGTGATTGGTGTCAGTGATAATCAGGTGAGAGGTGCTAAGAATGAACACTGCTTTTGTCCTTAACTTTAATGGATTCCTAGGTTCTATTTATTTATATATTTATTGATCTGTTTAATTTATTTGTATGAAACCAACCAATCATGGCTTTCTTCCTCCTATATAGACACATATAGTTATTATAATAAACTTTTAAGATTAAAATTATAAACAAAAAGAAACGGTCTCCCATAAGCAACAGAGTGGTTTTTGTGTTATTTGGAGAAATTTGGAGTGTTTTAAAATCATATAACTGTGGAAACGAAGGTACCATCTAGACTACATTTCATTGCTGTTCGAGATTGCGAGTATATATGAGAGTTATACATTCTAGGGCCGTTATTCAATCTCTCTTTCCATCTTTTAATTGTAGACGAAATATTTATTTATTTATCTATTTATTTATTTATTTATACTAGGTAAATCTTTACAAGTATGTCTTCCCGCCGGATTTGGTGCACCCCACGTTGGCCGTCATTGGTTGCATTCAGCCCATAGGAGCCATTAACCCAATAGCCGAGATGCAGGCTAGATGGGCTACCAAAGTCTTCAAAGTACGATATCGACCAAAGTTAATGGCATTTATCATAACTAATTAGTTGTTTTATAACAACTTGCAATCTGTACAAATACATATACCGGTAAATAATAGAAGGGATAAAATACAGAATGTACTAGTAAAATAGAAAATGCTCTATTTATTGTATCCATCCTAATCAAGGAACAAGAGAGATAATTCCTTGGCCTAATTGACTTTTGATTTTTAAGAAATATGAGTATGTATGAATGAAAAAAATCTTATAAATATATAGTTGGTGTTGACTTTTTTGACAGCGTGCTATGGTTAATAAGAAAAGAATAAAACAGATTACACTTTACTCTGTTTCAGGGAGAACTATCTCTACCATCACGGGAAAATATGGTGGCCGACATAGCTGACAAGAAGATGCGGATGCGCAAGCGCTACGCAGAAGGAGCACATTACACCATTCAGGTGGATTATGTTCCTTTCATGGATGAACTGGCTACACTTGTTGGATGTAAACCATCAATAGGTATGAAATTTCAATCATTTCCTAGAAATAATGTAAGCCCCTGCGCAAATTCCTGTCATATTTGAAAAAAAGAATGAAGTAAAGTCAGTGTCTTAAATCACGAAAATAATAAAAGTAATAACGTTGATAAAGTATCAAACCAAAAATCTGAACAGTTTATTGTTGCCAATTACTGACGGAACTCGGTCAAAAAAATAATTCATTTGATGGACAGGAGTTAACCAGAAGGCCTACGTTGTGTTTATCTCGAAGCTTAACTTCCTGTACACTTTGTGTTTATCTCGAAGCTTAACCTATTGTGTAATAACATTTTTAACATTCATTCACTTTCAGGAAAACTCCTGCTAAAAGACCCTCGTTTAGCATTGGAGGTGTTTCTAGGTCCTTGTACACCGTATCAATATCGCCTTCAAGGCCCTGGTCAGTGGGAAGGGGCAAGAGAGGCCATAATGACCACCTTTGACCGCGTGGTGTTTCCCACAAAAACCAGAGTCGTGGAGAAACCTAAGACGGAGGGCTCCAACTACATGCTTGTGTTATTGGCTGGGGCGCTGATACTAGCCGCGTGGTGTTTTATGTGACGTCTAATGTGACTTATATTAGATGAAACAGGACATTGTACGTCTTCTGAAGTGAAACCCGTAAAACACTGTGCACAAAAAAAGAAAAAAAAAAGACATGCGAATCAAGTCTTCATTTCATTTGATTCTAGTACCATCACTAGTATTAGTTAGGACCGTATTTAGTGGACGTTGAAATTGCAGTCGTTGTATTGCACTGTAATACTTATTAATCAACTGTTTTCCAATGGATACTACATGAACCAGTACGTGTATGTACATGTATCATATCCGTCTTGTATTTCGTCTTTCCTTTTCTATTCATTTAATGTGAAACATACCGAGTAGAATATTTCAGAAATAAATATAATACTGAAATTGGTAAAAACAATTGCAGAAAATTTGCTTCCTAAGCTCTACAGCTGACACCCAATGATTAATAAAAATTTCCTCAAAAGCTCATCGCAAATATTATCTTTATCGAACATGATACTCAAAAGCCTGTATTTTACATACTTTTTCTCTTTTCGAAATAGATTGAGCCAAAAAAGGAAGAACGGTTAGTCGCCCCTTTACTATTATACTTTTTTCTCCGTGGGAATTAAACTAAGGCGACGGGTAAAAATTTAGGCTAAAAAAATGGACATTATTTCGGATGTTTTTCGAAGTGTGCATAGGGCCTACTGGTCGGAATAATCTTTGCTGAAACGAAATAATATCAGTCACATAATTCTTGGACAGCAATCCACAAAATGACGTAACATGAGCTTCAAATCCGACAAGTGCCAGCTTCATTTAATTTGAATTATATATAACTACGACCCTTGCAGTTATTTCAGTCTGTAAACCTTACAAGTGCCTTGACTGCATGGGGATTTGAAAAATGAAGTAGCGGGCATGCATCAGTGTGATAAAACGTGACTTTTCTACTAGCACACTACTTAAAGGTACATTCCATGGGTTTGAAAATCCTCCAAATGCTTATTTTTGCCATCCACAGCTTCTTATAAAACCTTATATAGGGGCCTACCCCTGTACACTTTAGAAACCATTTTTGAAACTATTTTATTTTATTTTATTTTATTTTATTTTATTTTTCTGGAGCGTACCTGATATTAATATTTCCATCGGAGCTTAGGAACATGGTCGCTGGTTAAAATCACTGGTTATTCATTTTAAACTAAAACAACCTTTATAAATTTAATTTAAGGTCGAATCCATGTGCAGGGAGGGGTAGGCCTACCGGATAGTAATGATTTTTGAGTACGAGAAAATTTCTTATTTCCCATGGACAATCTATTTTGGCGGGTAAATCCCCTGGAGTAGCCCTTTTATAATAATCAGGGTTTAAGAGCGTGAAAGCGGACAGTGTATCGTTAATTTTTTAAAGACTTTCCTTGATTTTACGGTCAAAAAAAAAAAAAAAAAAAGATGGCTGAACTTATGGACCATAGGGCATATACCCTATTCAATACTGAATAGTGTTCATGTCAGCGGACGTTACGCACCACTCTGCCTGTACACGTTAGATTTTTTCATAAGAGGGGCAACTTCACCCTTGTTTCAAAGGACACTGGACGGCTGACAGGAGCCCTTTTTATCACCCCCTTCCCATGCCGTTTCCAGCTGGACTTACGGACCATTCCCACAGATATTTGGATCGATCTATCTCCCTGGGGAGTCTCACTAAATTGCTGTCAACTTGTCCTGCTTTAATGTCTGTCACGCCTAGTAAAGCTGTTAGGGGGTAATTACCTTTACCCCTTAACTGATTCGGTAGGCGTGACAGCCATTTAAGCCGGTTAGTTGACAGCAATTTAGTGAAACTCCCCATGGAGTTAAATCGATCCAGATGGATCGATCTAAGCATGGGAACTTAGTCTTTCTGACCTACTACTGATTCACGCTCGGCTGNAAAAAAAAAAAAAAAAAAAGATGGCTGAACTTATGGACCATAGGGCATATACCCTATTCAATACTGAATAGTGTTCATGTCAGCGGACGTTACGCACCACTCTGCCTGTACACGTTAGATTTTTTCATAAGAGGGGCAACTTCACCCTTGTTTCAAAGGACACTGGACGGCTGACAGGAGCCCTTTTTATCACCCCCTTCCCATGCCGTTTCCAGCTGGACTTACGGACCATTCCCACAGATATTTGGATCGATCTATCTCCCTGGGGAGTCTCACTAAATTGCTGTCAACTTGTCCTGCTTAAATGTCTGTCACGCCTAGTAAAGCTGTTAGGGGGTAATTACCTTTACCCCTTAACTTATTCGGTAGGCGTGACAGCCATTTAAGCCGGTTAGTTGACAGCAATTTAGTGAAACTCCCCATGGAGTTAGATCGATCCAGATGGATCGATCTTAGCATGGAAACTTAGTCTTTCTGACCTACTACTGATTCAGAAGGAAGGAAAATTATCTTTGACAAACCAAAAATTAATAAACATACTATTTGAAACTCAATCCTTGTTAACGTCTTAAATGTACAATAAACATTGCTTGGCCCAGTTTTGTTCAAAACCCCAAGTCCGTCTTGGCATTGTGTTACATCGGTGGCTAGCGTTTCTTTTAAGTCCGTTAACCGGAAGCGATAGTTTAGGGGTAAGTCTATATCAATTATTGGAAATATTCACCGAGAATGCTGTCATCATACATCTCTTAAAGAAAGCAATCCGATTCTTATTGAATAGGATACTACATTATGCTCCTGGGTGTAAAACAAATTTCCCCAAATCCCCAGTATCGATTAGAACACTTGTCAAAATGTTTGTCACTTGAACTTTGAAGTTAAAAATTATGACAATGACACTGGTTGACATTTGAACTTGACCAGTGAGTCAACATCATGACTGATAGTAAGCGTTATCTTTATTCTGTCAAATTCTTTTTTTTTTCCGATATATGATCGTAAATACCAAATGGTGACTTACTTGTACTGTATATTACCAACCCACCCAAATCAGTGTATATAATTATAACCCAGCCCCCATCAGAACCTGATATACTGCCTTAATGGTTATTCTGAGTTTATATTCCCGAAGACAATCTCATCAGAAGGGAGAGAAAAGCTTGTTTCACCTTACCTTCACATACAACACTGAATCTTCAAGACCTTTTTAATTTTTAACAACCTGTTTTATGTGTTAAGCATAATAATTTTTCCTCCACAGCATTAGAGTAAGGCGGGGTCTCAATGTAGCCTGAGAGGGGACATAACCTTGGCTACAGATTATCCCATAACCATCTCCACAATGCAGAACATGCAAGACCTGACAGGTTCTCTACCGGGGACATATCCCATCACAGGCCTCTGCATAGTCTCAGATAAATCTGCCTGTCCTGCAGGATACAGTGTGGTAAGGATGTGCACTTCTTGATAATTTCTTGACATAAACATATTTGCACGTAGATATGGTTATAGAGTTCAGTGCCCCGCGTATGCTCAGAAATACAGAACTTAGTATTCTTTTACATTGATTTCATTTCAACTCCAAGTACTGAAAAATACCTAACCTGGATAAGATACTAATGAATTGATTACTAAGTGCTAGATGTGAACTTTACTTAATTATTAAATCATATTAAAGAGTTTACTTTGAGAAATTACTTTTAATTAGATTGCAAGATGCCATGACAGTAATGAAGAAGCTGACCTATGGAAGGACTCTTTTCTGAGGAAAAAGATCACTAGATTTCTTTGCATCACAAGGGTTTTCCCCCTGGCAAATGGAACACTGAATAACATATTGGCAGATATTGCAGTGATCAATGAAAATGATAATATGCCAGCTCAGTTCTCTCGTATTGAATATACACAAAACTCAGGTGAGGTAGTACAGATGTAGGCATCATTGATATGAATACTTTTACCTTTATTTTAAGAAGAGAAAGTGGCAGGTTTAATTTTATTTTTTCTGTGAAGAGAACGTATTAGTTGCTATGTTTCAAAAATGCATTGTGTTGTCAGAGAATATAATTGTGCCAAAAGGTAATTTCTGTCATAGCTTTTATGCCATCCTTTTTTTTTCCAGATTGTTATGATAAGTCTTGAAAAAAAAATTTTTTTTTTTGCTCAAGTATATCTTGAGAAGGAAGTTTAAGGATATTTGGTAATTAATGTTTTGTGTAAACATGAAAATTATTTATAATAATTATCTGTTTGAATTTCATAATTTTTGTTTTTTAGGGGATAAAGCATTAAAAAAGAAGGTTCTTTGTGTAAAGATGGTCTCAAGGACAAGTGCAAATGATGCTATTAGTGAAATTATTTTTCTCAGTAAGCTAAAAAGGCCGCCAACAGGTTACACACTTATTGGGTAAGACTGGCATCAAATTTGTCCAATTGTTGTTCTCAGCTATGCTAACCTGAGCTTCAGATTTCATGTGTACATGTACCAAGTTGAACTTCTTCATTTTTAAGCTCCATATGTGCACATTTATCAGACTCTGACATTCAATTAAACATTTTATTTTACTGATGTTTACCTCCTCTGTATATAGTGGTTACATTGAAGGGAATATGATGTTGCCAATAGACCTGTCTTATGAACTTTTGTGATTGATGTGGTAAAAATTCAATCAAATGTCAAAGAGGTTAATTTTTGGTGAATTTGAAAAGGAAGAATCTGGCCTGAGTCAGTTCTGAAACTCAGGTTGATACACTAGTCTATATGCTATCCTCGTATATAGTTTGAAAAATAATCAACCTGTATCATGTATAAGCTTAGATAGCATATGTCTGAGTAAACATGATTCATTAAGCCAAACAGAGAAAATCATATATTTATGTTGCTCTGTGATTTAATCATTTCACTTCCAAAAAAAAAAAAAAAAAAGAAAAAAAGAAACTCTGATGTTAGTAAGCATCACTAGTTCTAAACAATAACATAGGATACATGTGAAAAGTCGTTGATCATTAAAGCAATAATAACTCTTCGTTTCGGCCAAAAAATGAATTTTCCTGGAGTAAACAACAATTTTCCCATACTTACCAATGGTTAATGAATCCATTTTTACATTCAAAGTTAGTCCCTGGTTTTTTTCTAAAAAGTTTGGTTTTTTGTTAAAATCTCTTAAGAGATTTTAACAGAGTATAGAAATCAATGGAGGTCACGTGGTCTAAAGACAAGTTCAAATATCAGAATAAAAGCTATAACTGCTGTTTTTGTGGTAAAACAGAATATATTATATTTCTATGAGTTATTCACAAGTTTTTTATTGTGAAATATAGGTCTCATACAAAGAGTTATTATGCCTTTAACATGTGACAGTATTTCTTGCAAGTTAAAGTTCAGTCTAACATGTAAGTTTATTTTTCATGTCAAAATCAATATGTGACATAATTATCATTTCAGAGACATCAATAACCTTCTACTGTGCACAAAGATTTCCCCAGTACCACAAGATGGCTCCACTGGGCAACAAACATCACTTCCTTACAGTATGCCGCCATCGTACATGTCAAAACCGCCAACTTACTCCATGGACGCTCAGGCACAGGGACAAAATTTGCCTTACACAGCTAACCCCAGCCTTGCTCCATATATGCCTCCAAGTCACAGGCGTCCTAGCCCTGTGATGCAGCCATCTTGGATGTCTAGTCAAGGTCAAGGCCACCCCGCCAGCAGTGCAGAAACAAGCGGTCTGGTAAGGCAGGGGAGCATACAGACTGTGAACTCTCGTAAGTATTAAGATTTATCTACAATGCAAATTCAAATTTTTGTTACGGTAAGACATCAGACTTCACTTCCTTACAGTATACCAGCACATTGTGAGTTGTCTACTATAAGTACCCAGTATGTGTCTTTGATATTGATATTGCTATTTAGATTTTATTTGATACACTGTAGCTGCTATAAAGAAATGGGTTTCCTTATAAAGTAGTTAATTAAATTTAACAATTTCTTTTTTCTTCTGGTATATTTTTGCCTTTTCTTATTTGTTTATGTTTCTTGATTTGTTTACATAATTGATATTGGGCGATTTCTGTATGTTCTATAACAGAATATATAGAAAAAATAAAGTGGATTTAAATAATGACAAAGGAACAAACAATGTTAAAAATATGTGTAATAGATATATAATAAAGTTTCATTTACATTTACAGTAAAATTATTGAGTGAATAAGTTATCATAATTACATCTTTGAAATAAACTATTTAGGTCCAAATTTCTTTTTTTAACATTAGCTCTCTATGGTATACCCTTTGAGCTTGGTCCTAATTTGGAAGATTATTCCCATTTAAAAAATGTAAGTATGTTTTATGGTAATGTATGCTTTTTATAATTTCTTAATTGAATTTTTATTATATAATTACAACAGTTTTGGTTTACAACATGCAAAAGCAACATATAAATTAATATGGCTTGCATTAAGAACCATGAATAATTATTCCTGAATAAAATATGGTTTATGAGACCAACTACTTGATATAAAAGTATATTTGTTTATATAAATTTTATTTTCAGATGACTATCCCTGATGTTAAATATAAAACTTTGATGGAAGTTATGAGCGATGTAAGTAAATTTCTTTTCAATTTTCTAAAATATTATTTGTTTATATTCACACTTTTGATGCTTGACACTAATGTAATCAGTTTTTATATTTCCATCCTTTTCCTGTTCATAGAATGATGATGAATGTAAAAGCTAAGCATATGCATTTTCTTTTACAGTACAATTATGACTTCAACGCAGAAAAATCAGCAGCTGCTAGAATGCCTCCTGAGTGATCTAAGCCAGTGTTCTTGCTACATTTGACATAATTACAATACAACAGAGGAGCGTCTGGTGATCATTGCGTGGCTTTGTGTCACACCTGACACAATGTGTTTTATGATGTCACAACAACTGCAATGCATTAGGGATTTGTGGCACATGGAAACCATAACAAAAACAAGCCACATATATATAATAGATGGAGATGGTGCTTTATGTCGGTGGTGATAGACACAGCCACTTGTGAGAAATGACTTCAGCTGTGACATAATGCTTACAGAAGTTTGAAGAGCAATTCCCAATTTGTACCAAACTGTTGTAAATTTTGTACTTTGAAATGTATTCCCTCATTTATTTGATTAATTTAGCTGAAAATTGAAATGAGGGTGAAATGCAAACTGTAAATACCCAAGATCTGTAACTGTAGAAAATGGATATAAAGAAACGTCCCAGGATTGTTGAAAAAGTAATAAGGGGAGCAAGGGTAGGGGGTGTATGCCTGCAAGTGGAGAAGTTAGCAATCATTTAGGTTTTATATACAGTTTGATGGTTTATTCAATTTATGTGTTGGCTTAAATTGGTATAAAAACAATGGTAAATTATTGTTTTAAATATGTCCCAAATGAATGTGGAGGATTGAGGTTGTAATTGGCTGTCAGGTGTTTAGTGAATAGGGGATTATTTTTCAGGGACCTTCATTCATTAATTGACTAAATCAAAATGAAGATAAAGAAAATATAGCCTTCAGAAACAATCCAATGAGTATTGACATTTGAACTTATATGTTTTTAACAATTTCAAATGTTAATTAAAAACTATTTCCAGTAAGAATGAGTTCAGTGCACATTGGTTATTTAAGGGTATTGTGGGAGAAGAGAACATTTGGTATGATAAAAAAAGTGCACTTTCAGAAACAATTTTTATTTTAAGGAAGTCGTGTAAGTATTATAAAAATATAAAATATTCATCTTTTTCTTGAAAACTAATGCTGATATAAAAGTAATCCTGAATTGAATACCAGCCACTAGAAAGCTGTATATGTGTGTTTGCATGTCTTCTATCTTTTAGGGACTCTAGTTCCGATCAAACAATGTGCACTTCTTTAGTATCTATGCTTCCAAAGGTTTCGGCATCCTTTTAAAAAAAAATGGAGCAATTTTCCAGCACCCATAAGTGTATATTGAAGAAATTTCTATTAGTCTTGATAGGGGTCTTTAATTCCACAATCTCGCTTAAAGCTGAAGGTATTGTCATTGCTGGTTGGGTTGTGACAGTCTCCCTCTGGTGGAGGTACGCTTTGAGCAATAGGAAATGTATGCGACATGCCCCTGTTAGTCCCAGGGTGTATTTTCTCCAATTTAAGGAGGGTGGGACTGTTTCTGCTTTTGTTTGTTCGAAAAAAGGGGTGCCCCTGCACTAGTATATGGCAAGGCATGATTTTCAGAATGTTTTAGTTTGAAATTAAGGCTTTTACCATTTTCTTTTCAATATTCTTGCCATGAACTGTACAGTGAAAAAGAAATGTAGCAAATGCTGCTTTAGTGAGCAATCATTCTGAACATATTCATTTTGTTTTTATATATTTATTCATTTGCCCATGGGAATATTTGTGATTGTGCTTATGAAAATTATTCTACATATTGCACAGATTTTGTATCAAACTTTTTAGTTAACAATGTGTACTTCCAGTTTCAGTATGCATGTACAGGGTACCCCAAAGTTGATCTGAATATATTTCGATTTTTGAATCCAAGTGTTGTATTTTATTGTATGGAAGGATGTACAGTTGATCAGTATTTTTGTAACAGACTCAGAATTGTAGCTATCCAAGAATATCTGCATCTGAAGCAACTGTCTTAAAAATTTTGCTTTGGTGATGATTATTTAGCAACTCATTCATAACAGCAGTATTTTATTATAATCTTAACAAAATGCAAAATCAATACAACAACCCCTGTGTTCTGACTTCTTCAATCAACTTAATGACTATTTACAATCTCTAGTAGGTTTACCTATGTGTTGCAGGACCCTGGGTGTGCTTGCCCTAAAATAAAAAAAAGTATGGAAAAGGCACTGATATATAGCAAACTTACACAAATTCAGTGCCTGTGTTATTTTAGTATGAATCAGATCCTGTACCGTTTAAATGTAAACAAATACATCATTATGGGTAAAAATAATTGACAGATTTTCAACTGAGAAAAGAAATTTCAACTAGAGTCAGTTTTTCTTCTCCTCCGAGAGGAGATTTTTTTTTACCAGTTACCTTTTGACATGCAAAAGAAATCAATAAGCTGAAGTGGATGGGTTATAAATCTGGCTTCCTACTAGCTGTACATGTGACTCTGTATGAAATGTCAATGGAAGAGGAGTTTCTTCTTCCAAAAAGGCCCATGAGAAAATGTTGGTCAAAGTAAGCCCAGGCATGTGTTAAACCTTTCACTTCTAGATGTTAAAAACAATTTACACGCTGTGTGTGAATATCATACTTAAAAAACGGCCTAATGAGATATGATTTGATACAAATTGGTCATTAAGCTTAAAAAAATAATGAGGGCGCAAGTGTGATTCAAGCGAAGATAATGTCATAAAATGCACCATTACGAATTTCATATTCTCGGCATGTTCTTTATTTCACTCTGTGATGCTATCAGAATGTTTTAGTTAGAAGTCTTAACAACTTCTTAGGCTGAAATATTTGCTTTTTTTATGAGAAGACACTCTATATCTTTAAAAGTAGCCATCACGTGCAGCTGCCATAACTGTCGGCACCACTTACATGTAGCGTCCTGTGCACTTTTTACTCAAACCCTGTTTCTTTTATTCCTATGTGGAATACTGCTGTTTCTGACCCGAGAAGAAAAAAAAGAAAAAAATGCAATTGAAACTGCAATATAGAAATACATTTTACAAAAAGGCGTTCCTTTCAGGCGTTTCTGGCATTAAAACGTTGACTGCTGATAAGCGGTATTATAAATTGGCGTGCTACGTTATCATAACCGTAGTTAGATCGCGGCAACACGAGACTTGCCACCTCTCAAATTTAAGAGACTTGTTTTTCTGATAATGCTGTTCCACTCCTCTTTGTGACCGTTTGAATCTTAATGGGCACGTGTGCGCGCGTGCGTGGAGAGACGGAGAGACGGAGAGGGGGACATGGACACTAGAAAACCCGTTCATTTTGAACGCGCCTTTTTTATCAAACTTATGTTTTCTTTCTGCTGTTAATAAGCATGCATTACAAATTAGTCAAATTTAAAAATCAGTTTAATCTTAATTTGGCTGTATTGTATTTTAGTACATGGTGTACCGCAAAATACGTTTTTCTCGCGCTGAATACTATTTCGACTAATACAGAGAAGTGTGACACTAAGTTTCCCACCGTGTTAATTGAAAGAGCCCATGTTCAATATCAATCTGTTAAATGAATGACGCGTTCTATCAACTTTTATCAAAATATATAATATATACAAATGTACAGCGATTATATAACCACCTCGGATGCTTTCCTCAAAAGACTATTCAATTTAAAGTCCAATTTGTATTTGTCGATTAATTTCCTTAGGCTTTTTAACAATTTCTGTTTAATTTATGAATTAGAGAGACGTTGCCCGTCCTTGAGGTTCAACGCGTTTTTTTTCCATCTTGTAATTTTTTATGATTTTACTGCATCTACAAGCACATGATTCTATAGCAGAGAACTTACCGGAAATCATTTTTAAGATAAACTACCTTTGGTCGCTTACTGAGCATCTTAATAGTTTATAATGTATTTCAAGGAACCCACGTAGAAGGCAATTGAACCTGAAAATCGAGTGCTGATCAATTTTCTATACGATTACTTTGTTTACCTCACCTCTACTCGCTTGCCTGAAAAATCAGTGTGGTTAACGTTGGGCAAAGTGATCAAAGGCGTCATGGTGAAAGAATTAAGATGGTTCATAAAAAGGATATTTCAATGTGTGAGATTATTTGTGTACTCCACCTCTACCTGCTCAACTGGGCATACAATATCATAAACATCAAAGTGGGGAGGGTGTTAGTACCAAACGTTTATGAAGGGGCCACCAGAATGACCTAGACATCACTTGTTAATAATAAAAAGTAACACATCATAAGTCTGATACCTAGAGGAGAAATATTTTTAAAATGGCAAGTTGCCAGAAGGATAAAATCACTTTATTTTTATATCATACATAATTTTAGTATCATATTGCTAATTCTCAAGATTGTAATAAGATTGTTGGGGGGGGGGGGGGGCAAGGGCAGAGGGGGGTTTGCAGGAGGAAATTAACGGACATCACATATTAAAAACTGAAACCTGGTTGCAGTTGATCTCCCTTTTTATCATTTTTATAAATGTTGCGGAAGGAGTAACAAAGATGCATTCATCTGCCGTATCTAATAAAGTTTATGACTGTTGTTAATGGTTTATATAACATGCTATTTTACCGAGACACGTGTTATAAGTTCACTTTGACACGCGACATAATAGTCCATAACTTTTTTATCAACTTGACAAATACAATTTTAAACAGATGTGACAGCGTTGCAGTGAAATAAACCCCGTTATGGCTTGCCCTAGGATGCCATTTCAATACATAATGAACGGCTATAAAAGAGCTAATGTATTGTTTTGCCACTTATAGTGCCAGGGGGGTCAAAGACCCTAACATCAGAGTTGAAATTGAGTTGTTATAAAGGGAAGTGTTTTCAAACACCGACTGCTGACGTGCACGCATCTCAGACGAATTCAATCTATAAGCATCTTTTGTTTCAACATTTTGTTTATATTATGATCGTTATTTTTTATTTATTTTTTATTTATTCATTTTGTAATCTGGCATATTTTGCTTTCTAAAAATCCATTAAGGTGAGATCAGGAAAATGATGACTAACTGGGTTTTTTTTTTTGGACGACTATCGGGGGCGGGGAGGAGGGCTTGGTCCCCCAACACACCCCTGCACTTTATAACAACGTCAGTCATAAGCGCAGGAAGCGCTAGCTAACCTAACACAGGTTAGAACACCAGACTGGTTATACCTCGTTAGAACACCAGACTGGTTATACCTCGTTAGAACACCAGACGACCTCTGATGAAGCCCCTGTAAATAGTGAAACTATTTCTCTAATGAATTGGTGACCATGACCGTTTCCGGGTAGAACTCTGAAACCGTGTGGTTTCTTTTATTGGGGCAGGTTTCACCTGCACTGCTTAGGTAGTCAAAGTAGACTTACATGTGTAACAGATATTCTGAAGAGGCCTACGACGAAGCGTGTGCCTCGTCTAGAATGACTTGGGTCATTGACAGCATCATGTGGATATCACAATGGTAACCTGAACCACATCAAACACGGGGATAACCTGGAAACCGCTTGACTACCATTTTAAAGGGGGTATCTTAGGAACAATTGTAGGTTGCGCGATGAAAACTCCGGTTCACACAGAGCTTTGTGGGGCATGAAACTCTTTTACAGATGATAATTTGGAAAATATGGAGATTCAAAATATTGCTTTTTATGGTTGTTGTATGACTTAGTATCAGCAATGTATTTTTGTTTCTTTTATTATGTACATTCAATTAAAAAACTGATGAAATAATGACATTAAACCCAGCAAACACATAATATTATTATATCGTTACCATAACGTTAATTTTACCCAAAAAACGTTATGCTCCCGTTATGGTAATGTTATACAAAGTTCTGTATTCGCCTGGAAGAGATTACTTAAAGCTATTAAAACACGATTTTAATCTTTAATTTCATTTATCAGTCAGAAAAGTAGGGGGAAACGATGAAAAATGATTTGGAAAAAATATTCCATATTAAATTTCAAGTCTGTATACCCTCATTTTTTCTGAATGGTTAGCCCTGAGTTAAATTTTGTTCATATTCGTGCAGGTTACACCACAAGCTTCACATTTTAAGGAAGTACTGATACATCATTAAACACTATTGAAGATTTCAAGTGATTAACCTGAAACATCAGACACACAGTACTGCATGAAAAGGCACTTGAAGATAAAAGATCTACGTGCTCTACATTCCTCTCCATAATCCTTTTAAAATATTTAAGCACTTTTTGAAAAAGGGAAAAACAAAGACAAAAAGTCATTTCTTCTCATCAGAACTCTTCACACGACAAATGTCAAGCTTAATTTTCTGAGGTAACGGTAAAATTGCCATTTTAAAGTTATAAAGGAAAGAGTAGCATACAGAATACATGTTTTACGCTTTAGCATGCTCGGTTGATTTCCCGGGCGCTTTCTGTTTATCTTTTGTTCAGTATGACTTGAACTGTATTCTTCAAAGAACTCGTGTGCCTTTTACGAATAAAAAATGTGACTGATTTCAAGTATTATCAACATCAAATGCCATAAAGCTTTCTTTCGTTAAAACGTAAAGGGATAACAACCCATCACATGAGAGTCAAAATTTCCACAACTGTAGTCAGCACATAGAAATATAATAATTTCAATTTTACCACCAAAATGGCGGTTATTTTTTTCAAAAAATTAATATACGCTCATGCTGCTATAGACTTGCACCGGATTATCTCTGTGACACATCAAATCGCTCGATAAGATCTAAGGACCAATTATTATTAAAACCTCAATGTACAAGGTTAAAAACATTTGGAGAAAATTCTTTTGAAAATGTGGCCCCGTATTATTATTATTATTATGATTATTATTATTATTATCGCAATTATTATGAAATCTGTGCTTGCCTTCGAACCACGTGGACCTTCATAGATCGCTTCCCTCCGTAATCATCTCTAAAGAGATTATTACAAAAATCACACTTTAAATAACAATTGACTAACTTTGAATGACGGAAAGGATTCGTTAACCACTGGAAATTAGGGAAATTTTGTCGTTTACCCCATTTTTGTGGCACCAAAATAAAGAGTTGTCATCCCTTTAAATGATTTAAATGTCTTAAAAGCCTTTTGTTGTAATTGGGCATATTTGTTAAAGAAATCGTTAGGTTATATCTGTTTAATGATTATGTGTCATTAACTGAGTGTATTTGACAAAACTGAACAATTGGAGCTCGATTTAACAGTTAGACAGTTTTAGAAGACACAATAGAGAAATTGAATAAAAATCAACAAAATAAATGTTTTATTTATCATAAAAATCAGACTTCTTTTACCCCATCGTAAGAGTGCACCGTAAGAGTGTTTCTTTTTCAGGAAATTATCCTTATTTTATCATAATTTTATCATAAGGCAGACTGCAGTCTACAGACTCCTGGCGCTTGTTGTTAATGAAAAATGGAGATAAGAACCTACAAATGCTTTTGATATGTTGTTTCAGGCGATCAAGACAGATGCATACTAAAGTAAATAGCTTATGCGGTAACAAATTTCACACTGAAATGCAATTTATTGCAGTTGTCGTTTGTTCTTGTTTCGTGCCAGTACGTAATCTCATTAATATAAGTGAAAAGAAGTTGTGATTTCTCTCACCAAAAACGCTCAACCTGTGATAAGATCAATTTAAATATCTTTAACTTCTTTAGAAAAAGAAGGAATACCTTTATAACATGCAACTCGTTGGTATATAAATATACTCGGATTATGAACACGTATCGCACATCCCAAACTATTTTGTCGTGTCACCGTAAACAATGAAGCTGTCCGTGCTGGTGCTCTTTGCTGTTCTGGCTGCGGCCACTGCTTATAAAGGAAAACCTTACTACCCTTTCCCCGGCCNTGACTCCTACGGCAAGAGCAGCTCAGGAAGCAGCTACGGCAAATCTTCGAGTAGTTACGGCACTAAATCCAGCAGCTCATATTACCCATACTAAATGTGCTGAGAAAGGTAAGGGAGAGAGAGAGAGGAGAAAGAGGGAGAGAGAGAGAGAGGGGGGAGAGAGTGAGAGAGAGGAAGGCAGGCTTTCAAACAAACAGACAGGATGTAAAAGTTGAACTAGTTGTAAAAAATCTGATTGTGTTCTGTGGTAACTGTTTTAAAACAGAATATTAAGAGACAAACGTGCATAATGACTTTTATGAACAAGAAATGTCAATAGTTCCAATCAAAAATGAAAGAAAATAATAAACATTTTGAAACCAAATTAATCAAAGAGATCCTTATGACTTATAAAGTTCGAAACATTTCATATTTCTTTTTTCTCTTATTTCAGGGCTTGATCAAACTGCAGCGGCCGTCGTCATATCTCCGAGACAGCCGTCATTTCTACGTGAAGTATGCGGCTTTCACTTCTGACACTTTTATGATGACTATTATGATTTACGTCAAACGATCGTTTTTTACCTCGCATCGATGTGCATAGCAAATTTCTAGAATGAACAGGATATTTCAATTTTATAGACACTATTTGATGTAGTTGGTTATTTAATTCCTTTCTACTTCTGCATTAAATATACGTTTTATTATACCTGTACACCATACACCCTTCACCATTGAATAAATGTTGAAAAAAATACTCTTGATTATTTGTCGTAATTGCTCATCTTATGCAAAATATATTTCGGAAAATAAGATTCTAGGTTTAATGCTAATTAAAAAAAGGCAGTTTATTCAAGAAGTGTTCAAAACGTCTGACTTATGACAAATAATATTGAACTAGAATGCCAAACTGCACAGCGTCAAAGAGAGAAACTGGTGTAGATAAGGCCAGAGCATGCACAAATAGTAATGAAAATACCAAATCGGATGAATAGAACTAAGACTCATCAAACTTCAAATCGGGAAAATTCAACTAACATTTAAGAAGATTTAATTTGATATAATGCAACATGAATTATATTACCTCTGGCAATCAGTCACATTTTCATTCTATCCATTTATTTGTATTATCATTGTCAGACTTTTGACTCAGTAATTTTCACGACTTTTAAGTTAAAACCTGCGATGAACAAGACAAACATTGCAATAAGTGTTATCTATAGGAATCTCGCCCTCGTTAATAGAAAGACGCACCACTTTGTGTTAAAGGGCCTTCAATAAAACTCAAGTTTGCTAAATGTTCCATGAAAGGAAATTTTATAAATCTTATTTGTAAAAAATATGATGTACTATGATATACAAAATAACATTAAATGAGATTTAAAAAAAAAAAACGAATGTTTTCGTCTACTCGTCTCTCGTTGAAGTACCATGTGAAGCATTGTGCATCTTTGGTCAGGCACATAAGTTGCGAATATATCCTCTGAAACATCTTTTTGGCATGTAAATTAAAAACGTGTCCAATACCCGAGAATAAATACCCAAAATATATACAATTCACAAAACCCACATATGTAATAACCATGCATTCATTCTATAACTGAATTTTCATCGAAACGATTGAATTTTTAAGTGCGCTTATTTCTCCCGTCCTTGCAGCATTGTGTTATATACTATCTACATATACTATCAAATACTAACAAACTGACCAGGAAAATTTGACCGGAATTCTGATCAGGACCTTGTAACCTTGACATTATGGTCACGCCCTCACGAGCACGCGAGAACCACTCGGTCCTGCGAAGATTGCCATTCGTGAGGTCTCCGTCGCTGGGAGTTGCACGGCCGCTGGCGACCTGAACGGGTGCCCAGAAGGGAAGAAAATGAAGATCGGCAACTTCGATAGCATATCCAGGTGGTTCCCCATCACGGCAGTGATTGTTCTAGGCCTATTGGGTGAGGTCCCCTCAAGCCATGTTCCTGGTAAGTCTCGTGGCGAATATAGTGAATGAACGTGTACAGGCGACCTTTATACCCATGTGCCCAGAAGGAGCACCTCTTCTTTCTACAGAGAGCCTGCCTATTTACTGAGAATTTAACTGTCCTTTCGGCACATTGATCTTTGCCTCAGTTTTTTGGCCTCACATGCTACCATGTAGGTACAGGTACAATGTACTTTTACCCTGTAAGTAATGTATGTCCGCAACAGCAACATTACTATCTTCAATGTCTTTGATAAACAGAAATGCTTTGATAGATAATACTGTTTAGATTTTATGTATAAATGCAAAGTGTAGATCTGCACTTGGAACTGGCTATAAAATCCTTTATCCCCTTCGCGCACAGCATTACTCATTGCCTTACTTTGACCAAGATCTTTTAAAATGAGATAAATTAATGCCGTTACACCCTTTTAAATGTGTCATGCCATCAAGCGTGCACTTTTCAGTAATATACCTTGGGCATACATTATAAATAATTGCGAATTATACAACACCGCCCGAAGATCAGAATCAAAATGTTGAATAGCTACCACTAGATCTTAATCAAGATTTGAATAGTTGTACATTCTATACAGTATATTGAAATTTTATGTAGGTGATGTGTTATTAAGTATTATCTTTTATAAGTATTTTTGTTTATCAACAATTTTATACGTCATTTCACTGTAATGCAAATAAATGCAAAAAGGAATAGAATGAAAAAGTGTGATGTTTTTTTCAGAAAAATATAAGTACATTTAACTGTTAACTTAATAATGGAAGCGATTTTTATCAGTTAAGCATCATTTGAAAGGAAATGAAAGTGTTTGTTGTGTTTATATCTTCTGAGTGACAGAATAAATTAATGTTCTTAAGGTTAATATGACTGCCAGATTTGTGGTCTAACAAAGGGTTGAAACCCCCACTTTCTCGTAGATAAAATGGCATCTTCACACTTAAATGGGCTCTAAAAAGGAGCCTCTAAATACAATTCGAAATAAACATTATGTTAATTCTTTCAGGATTCTGCCCCTGGTTCGAAGTTCTTCCCGGCTATGGCCAAGTCTGCTTATCAGGGTCCCCATCAGATTTCTGGACCGCGAAACTGGAATGTGAAAAACTGTGTGGTCATCTTCTGATGGTTAAGACTGACCGCGACAAGCAAGTCCTGGACATGATGTTAAGGAGGTGAATTGTAGATATTTAAGTTGGTCAATTAGGAGAATGTGGCAATATTATTGTTATTGTTTGCTATTGTTTCTGACCATTACTTCCCCTGCGTGCGCGCTATTTCGTCTGATTTTGATAGCGAGATTTTCTCAAGTGCTGGGCGTAAAATTGTGTACTCACAATATGCTATATGGTAACGCAGATAAATATTAATTTCAGGGACGAAGTCCCCCTTAATTTGAGCCCGCAGGTTGGTTTGTGGATCGGAGGGTATCGGAACAACAAGACGGCACCACTCCGGTGGGTGGACGGAACTGTAGTTGATGGTGAGGATCCGATTAGTATTTTCAGTTGTTCGTTATAGCCGTTATTTCATTTTTCATTCAACAGTAAATTTCAACAGCAGGGGAAGCATAGTATAGTCGTTGTAAACAGAAAATAACTTGAAGAGAAAATGCTGGTAAGGAGAGTTAGAGTATCCTAAAAGGGAAGGTGAGGATGTTTGGGGATTCTCAAAATGTGGATAGAAACAGTTGTTTTTACACGTAACACATTTGTGTGTGTATGGGTTAAGGAAACGCCCTGGAACGTCAAAGTAGTAACTTTCCTAAAAAACTTGTCATTTTCGCTCTTTTCTGTTTTATTTTTGTTATGTTACTTTTGATTCGTGCTTTTTATTATTTCTGACGTCTATCTTTTCTTTTGTTCTTATTTATTTGTTCATTCGTGCTTCCAGACGCTGCCTTTGACAATATTAATCATACAGAATCCGTTTGCCAAGCGCTTCTGCTCCACAAACTCGATCAGTTTCAAGAGCACTTTAGGTTTGATAGCATACATCTTTCTATAATATATAAAATGTAAGGATTCATAGAATACACGAAACGTAGACACATTATGAAGAAATCGTGTAACCACGAGATGTAAGGCCCCATTTAGAATGGATGAACCGAGTACTTACTGATCTGCCGACTAAAATGGCTGACCACAGTTCAAAAGCGATGCCACTGATTCTTGACGGTCTCCCAAACTCCTTACGCGCCTTTAAACGGATTAAATCTCTGCTCCGAGGTTTAATTGCTAGGCCTCTGCAGCGACGGCGCGTGTGGAGGCGGGAAGACCATCAGGAATCAGCGGCATCGATTTTGAACTGTGGTCGGCCATATTTAGACGGCGGATCAGTAAGTACTCGGATCATCCATTCTGAATAGGGCCCAAGACGCAGTTAACCTAAGTTTGACACAGTTCATTTGATTAAAAATATTGCGAACAAACGTCGCATTCTCAATATACAAGCATGCTATAGGTAATACAGAATGGCAAAGGTGTCTCTGATCTAGAGCCTTCTTTAACATACACCAATATCTATATTTTCAGGGCCAGTTTAAGAGACTGCTATATAAGCAAACACCCATTCATATGCGCTAGAAACAACCACTCCGCTCACGGTAGGAGATCACGCCTAGCTTAAATATATGTGCAATTAAAACAATAATATTTGTAAAGGGGGCATAGATTAACAATGTTGATTACTACTTCATCAAGTCGTTGTTTGATATTATACTGAAAAGAGAATGATATTATCATAAGTGGCGGCATTCATTGTCTTATTTGTTATGACCTATTTATTTATTCAGATTGTACCCATTCCGGAGGACCGTCGCTTGCCTGTGCACTCGAGGTCATTGACACGCCCGCCTACGTGTACGTAAACCAGAATGATATGACGATGACCACAGTGTGCAAACGTGGACATATATTTCCCGATGGTTCAAGAATAAAAACGGTATCTTACAATAGCGAGGGGTGGTCTCGTTCATTTCCGCCTTGTATAGGTAAGGTCTGCAAGTCATTTAGAGAACTTAATGGGTTTAATATATAAGATCAAATTTGACAGTTTTTTATAATATATCATTTTTTATCTATCTTCAATGGTTCATTTAAATGTTATATTATATCATTGTAATAATTATTGTTATTTTTATTAACATTGTTTTTATCATGTGTAAAAGTACGTCATTAGGTTATAGTTTAACGATTTCAGGTGGCATATTTCCACTGTTACTTATATCATCACGACACTTAAACTGAAGTCAATTTCATATGGTGCTACACGTAGTGACGAAAACTGTTTTTTGTTGCAGCTATAGACCAGTATCTGAACGGAATCCGTGAATGTAACGCCTCTCGGCAGATCAACGCGGCGACCTTATTGTTACGTGAGCCTAGTGTCCCTCAAGATGGAACGCCTTGGACACCATATGGTTGGTCTCTCGCTCTTATCTCTCTCTCTCTCTCTCTCTCACACACAAACACACACATAAGCGATATTATTATTTCAGGCTTAAAAAGTGTCTACTGTCCCTTTGAGCCTCACCATACATTTTGGACATGGGAATACACGTACATGTAACAAGAATAGTTGAGCGTAAAATCAACGTCATTTTAAGACAAAAATGACCCGAACTTATTATTTAATGATTCTTACTATACCAATTGTTCTTTTTTGGCTGACTTTTAGAACCTACAAAATGTGACAGCTCTGGAACATGCCACGTCGACCAAATAAAATGTCCGCCAGGCTACACCTACCGACGGGCCAACTCCTGCTACAAGGCTTTTGTCGGAATGAGGCCGTGGTCGGACGCACAAAATGTATGCAGTCAAGATGGCGGCCATCTTGTTTCCCTGGAATCAATGTCTGAATTGAACCACGTTTTGGACCAATTTCGAAGACATTCGACTATGTTCCCAAGTAGGTGATACAGTGCTTGACGCGACTGAAAAATTCTTAAACACATGAAAATGAAAAGACAAATTAGATTTTGATATATGTGCCAGTTATACCTATCCTCTGTAATGGTATAAAAACAATAAGCTTGATCATTTCACCCGTCCTTTGCAAGTTAGCAAAAGGCTAAAGCCGTTACTGTTATATACCTATTTTGTAATGCGTTGATGGTAGTGGAAGGGCTATTTTTAAACACATGTCCATTTTGTCCCGAAATTTCAGTGCTTTAGATATTGAATATTAAAAAGAAACATCTCTGCTAATTCAGTGGTATATCATACAGTTCCAGGCTTGCGTGGTTTATGGAAGCTTGGTCTGGAACATGGCGCTAGCGATCTCAGCGGCCAAGGTTTCCACGGACGGATGAACAACACCACGTACTCAATTGGAGTCAATGGTGAACCGGAAGGGGCAATCGAATTTCTTGAGAATACAACGTCTTTCGTAGAGATAATGAGTCCAGATATCTTCAGCATGAAGTCGGCAATAACACTGATGTTTCAAATCAAACCCGTTGACGATGGTCGCGTGAGGCGGCATCAGATATTACTCTTCGGCGACATCCTTGATGTGTATTATCTCAATGGAAGTGTGCACTTTGTTATCAAAGATGGCGCCCCGATTCTCCTGCCCGGTGTCCGCGCGGCCAAGTGGACAAGCTTGGCGCTCACATATGACCACAGCACCAAGGTCTTAGTCCTTTGGAAGGCGAATAATCCGGCAGTGAAAACCTCAATAGAGGTTCGTGAAGATGACCACGTTCCACCAAATGGTTTGACCCGTATTGTCCTTGGAAATGGATTCACTGTAGACGATGAGCGTTATTACGGGGGAACAACACGGATGCACTGCTTTCAAATATATGACAGAGCACTGGGACTGGAGGATATGCTTTATACCTGGGAATTATGCAGGTCGAGCGGTATGTACAAACAGCATGGATGCCAACATCACATGTTCTATATGTCTAGAGACTTTTTTTAATTCAGCGAAATAGAAAACATTGTAAAAGGAACTCCACATAGGGACCTAGTACTACTAGTAAAATGGCTTGCATATAAACTGTAGCAATCTAAACATAAATGAATTTTAACTTTATATAATGTGACTTATATGATATGATATGGTATACTTAGCTTCTGATGGAGGACTGTGGATAGGAGCCCACGAGGTCGGTGGTCAATTTCGGTGGACCAGCGGTTCCCTCTTGAGTGACACGGAGACAAACGCGGCAGCCGCATGGAGTCCCACCGCACAACGCGGGGACGGCGGATGTTTGTTATTGAGACCTTTTGGATTCCACAACGTAGACTGCCAGCAGGAACAGAGGGAATTCATTTGTGAGATAGGTATATCTTTTGGAGAATTTTTGTTTTAAATTTCCACTTATTAAGCAATAGATTTAAATGTAGCTATGAGATAATGTTTATGCAGACTTGTATGTGCTCAGTCGCACGTTTATTGGTATGGCATTACTGTCAATAAATCTCTTACAGGTTTCACGTACCAGACAAATATTTTGTAACTTGACAGTATAACAATTTCAAAGAAACTATTTTTACTTGAAGAACACCTAGACCATCCCCTAGGTCCAGCAGGCGAGGTTTTCAGGACTTGTGAAGATGTAGGGTCCAATTCAAACGGTAGATGGCGACAGGTGCTTGTCCAGCCTGTGGACCACCTACCGCCGTTCACAGTAACCTGTGGTTTTGACTACACCACGGGGACGTTCCACCTGAGCCTGGAAACAGACCAGAAATGGATAGATATCAAAAATGCATTCCTTTCCTCAGAAGTTGAGTTTTCCTACAATGAAAGTCTCGGGTTGAATTTACATTTGATACCATGGTATAAACAGCGCTCTATCCAGTGCCGACAGGTAAGTGTAACTACTGGGGTTGGGTAAGTATACATGTACACTTACTAATAATTTAAGACTTGGAAAATATATAACCATTCTATCACTTTCAAATGTTCTATGGGTCTTTTGAATGGGAAACCAATAATGAGTTATTTAAATTCGACAATGAAATTTTAAACATTTCGCTGAAAGTTGAAGATCAGTTAAGTGCTTGTATTAAATAATGTTTACGTTTTCATTCTAGTCGATATTCAAAATAAAATGTCACATTTCTCCATTAACTTAAAAAAGATTGATTTGCTTGATGCACTTACTGATAACCTTTTTAATTTCGGCTTGTCACTCGTCCGTAATACCTCAATCATTCAGACCACCTCGAGCGATTTTGCACCCCCTTATTACTGTCACAGTTTGAGGTACGGAAAAGCCGATGTGTTCTTAATCATATCCCAATATGTTCGAAATCAAAAGCATAACTATAGAATGAAATTAGTAGATCCTGTGCCTAATAATGTTGGCATCATTTGCAGTACGTTCAGGCCCATTGTAGCAACGCAGTTATCTTTGGAGGCGACTATTGGTGGAAGTCCATCCAGGGGTATCACATGACAGATTGGGGCGGAGCCTCAACCAACAGCTCTACTTGCGCATGCGCGGGATCGGAATCCGGTTGCAACAATCCATTGTGAGTACCGAGTACTTCAATCGTTAGGAATTATTGAAAGCGGGAAGGACTGTAATGACTGTCTACATTTTAGTGGTCTTGGAGATAACAGTGACTGTCTACTTGTACATTTTAATGACCCTTTATTCTTTATGCATCCTGACTGAGATAGCTATAGTTTAATAGAGTTAGATAGAGGCTCATGTCAATTTTCAGGTCTCCCTGTCACTGCGATGGGAAGGGGAACGCGACCGACTCTGGGTTTCTCAGCGACCAACGCTATCTCCCACTTAGAGGTGTTTTTATATCGGGGACAGTCAACGCAGACGCAGTAACTATATATGTTGGCCCGTTCACCTGCAAAAGAGGTAACGTCATTGCGTTTTTGTTATAAAGAATGCGAATAAGTATAACGCACTTTATTCAAAATGAACCATCATTGAATCACACTTGTCATTAAAAGATACTTTTTAAGCTCAGAGTTCAGCACACGTGAAATGGAAATGGAGAAATTAAAAGGCAATGGAAGGCCTTATCAAAGTAGTTACCATAGTTACCATTTTACAGTTTGAGGATTCTTTATGTTGGAATAATCCCGCTGAAAGTGTACTTATGAAGGCAAATTGTAACAGTACGCCTATCCTTTACATGCATCTCTCATAATACTCTAGTCTAAACGATTCAAAAAGGAACATCGCTAATTAAGCCATTATTGTATCTACTGGTGTGCAACTGATAATTCCAAAGGTGTATATTTTTCAGTCCAGTTGCATGATCTTGGCATGTTGCTCCTTAATTCTAAATACATAACAAAGGCGAACAACATCCGGGCATCTGACATTGGAGCTGGAGCCGGTGGCGTAGGCGACGTAATTTATAGTTTTGTTGTCCAATCAACTGACCCTGTGGATATCATAATAGACCTCCATGCAGAGTATTCATTTGATGTGAATATGAGACTGTACGGCGGCGTGAACCCACTCACTTTTCAACCTCTTGACGACAGATTAATTGTTCTCAGTGACGACGAAGGGGATTCTCTGAATCCTAGAATTATGGCAAGGTTACGGGGAAACCACACGTACTATATTGTCGTAAGCGGGACAGTGGGGACCCTCACCAATCGAGGGTATTTTGAGCTTCACTTAAGTACAAGTGGTTTTAACACATTTAAAGGTATTCAGTTATAATTCAGTTTTTGGAATTTAATGTCATGTCTTGTTGCATTTGAGCATGCTAATCTGCCATATAACAAAGAACACTGCATGGTTTCATGCACATATGGTATGCGAAAATTATGATTACATTTTGTCTTTTTGCCAATGGTATATAAAGTTCGTACATATTGTAATTTTATAGCTAGAGCATTTTTATATAGCCAGTTCTTGTCTTTGGGTATCAAAATTCTTTATTTACGGTGGTATGTAAAGCAAGGCGACTTGAATTCCAGCATTATCCGAAGATTGTTTAACAGATGCGGAGTGTCAAAAATATGACGCCGCCAGTTGGTGTCCAGAACAAACATACAGGTGTGAGTGCCGCCCAGGTTTTGTGTCGGATCAGTTCTCACACTGTCGGAAAGGTATTTTTACTCATTTTAGTCCTTTAACTTTTAGTTTCGTGTTTTTACTATGATTGCTGCAATCGCATTTTATGGAGGCTTGTTTTTCTCTGTATCCGAAGGGCGAGATTCTCACTGTTTTAGTACCCTATTTTAGCACAAAAGAAAACTTTATGTACAATAATTTAGAATTTGCTAAAGAATAGTAATTTCAACCAAAGAAGCGAATATCAACATTAAAAATTATAAAATCGATTGTTATGGACAAGTGTGTCTTTTCTAAATTGATTTCTACATCCAAAATCATCAGTGACTGATATGTACACTTATCCAAATAAGTCCTTAAACACTGAATATGATTTTATATTATTTATAAGTCAACCATTTGATTTTTTAGTTCTAGGAATGGACTGTAACAACGATCTTGATTGTACCAGTGCGGTATACGGAAGTACATGTAATGCAGATTCGCCATTAGGACCGATTTGCACGTGCAAACCGAATTGGTACGAGAGAGAGAATGAGTGCAGTAAGTGCCGTTTTACCAAGTACGGGTTTCAGATGCAAAGGTTATCCCAGATCACACGCATGCGCATTTGTAGCAATTGCTATTGTCACTGTTCTGTGTTGACGGGTCATTTTAATGATTAATTTTCAAATATTTTTTTCTCTGATTTTGATTAGCTCCAAATTACTAAAATCTGCAGAACCGGGATCTTATTTTATCATTTTCAACCAAAATCGATGTAACATTTTAGATCACTACCACACTTAGATTCAGAGGTCAGTGGAAACTAGCACACGCTACCAGCATTGTTTATGAGTGCTATCAACTCAAGACTCCATGTGCTTGCCAAACTAACTTTATTCCCGATATCACTACGCAGAGTGATTAGGTTGTAGTGTGCGTTAGGGTTATAGGTATATGTATATACGCATAACAAAGTAGTTCTATTTACATCTCCCCTTTTCTAGAAAACTATTACAATTAAATTACTGGACTGCTATAACTGTAGCTCTGTATTGCTAGCTCTAGATAATCCCTTGATTTTGGCACTGTAACTTTTTACTGATTGTATTTCTAATGAATAACTTTGAGTGCTTTAAGTAAAGTCAACAATGAACAATCAACATTAACATCAAAGTCAAACAATCAACATTAACATCAAAGTCAACATTTTTTTTAAATGTTCAATGAAAGAAAAGTCTGTCCTCCTGAATGAATTTGATCTGACAGTAATTAACTGTGACAAATAAACAAACAGTCTCTGAATGATTGCAAACTTTGCAATGTTAACAGTCTCTTATATTCACAGTCTTTAGTTTACTCTCAACAGTCTCTGAATTCACTTTCAACAGTCTCTAATTTTAGTGTATTCTCAACAGTCTCTGAATTCACTTTCAACAGT